CAAGGTGGAAAGCATTGAGGAAGACACCTGGCATTGAACACTGGCCTGCACATGCACATGTACATACACACACAATTTGCAATGGGATATGAAAAACTCTGGTGAGGGCTTTATTCAGTATCACACACACATTTATACAGAACAAGTCAAGATAACTTACAAGCAGATGTTTTTAGAGTTACTATGAAAATTTAGGAAGATAATTCTATTGCTTTCCTATGGTTTAGTCACAAAAATGAAATATAAATTTAAAGATGCCATTTGCAACACTAAGAAAGAAATGATAAAGTACCTTACAGTAAATCTAACAAAAGATGTTTAAAACTTTCACAAAGTAATAGACAAGTCTTAAAGATGACCCAAATAAAGAGAAATGCATCTGAACACCGACAGGAAAATACAGTATCATAAATATGTCACTTCTCCACAGGAACACATAGATGTTTACTGCAATCTCAATGGAAGTTTTACGGTTTCTATGGGAACTCAGTAAGATAATTCTACAATGTAAATGTCTCAGATCAGGTAAGCTCATTAAGACAGCATGGCATCAAATTACAGACATGGACTTAGACAACTGGTATACCCAGGAACACACCAGAGATGTATAACTGATACCTATGACTGAGCAGTACTGCAAACAGTGGGGAAAGAACAAACTATTTGAAAATGATCATGATAAATAACTTATATAGGAAAAAATGAAGTGAAACTGAAACTTTCTCATTTCAATTTTTTTTAAAGTGGAATTCCAAAACCTGATAAGGAAACTCTTATTAGAAAGAATATAAGGAAATATTTGGAGGTAATAGGTGTCACACTCTTTGGTTAGAGCAATGATTTGATAAAATTAAAAAAAACATAATTCATGCAGTAATGGCTCAGCCATTAAAAGCACTGGCTGCTCTTCCAGAGGATTGGGGTTTAATTCCCAGCACCCACATAACTCATACAGACAGTTCATAACTGTCTGTAACTCCATTTCCAGGGGATCCAGCACCCTCAAACAGACATACATGCAGTCAAAACACTAATGCATGTGAAATAAAAACAAAGAACTTAAAAAACAGTGAAATAAATATTATTAAAATAAAAATGGTTATACACAGACATTAAGAAACTGTAAACAAGAACTATAAATGGGGATAAAAATTAACTGACAAAGAATTCAGACCCACATTATGCAAATAACATAAATCAGTGATTAAAAATCAGTAGAAGCTAGGTGTGTTGATATACACTTTTATTTTAATTCTAGCACCCAGGAGACAGAGGCAGGTAGATTCTGTGAGTTGAAGGCAGCCTGGTTTACAGAGTTCCAGGTCAGCCAAGACTACATAGAGAAACCTTGTCTCAAAAAAAATCATAACAATATAAATTTTAAAAATGAACAGAAGACAGGCAGGTAATTCACATAATAAATAAAAATGACTAATGCATTTATGAAAAGATGTTCAGTCTTACTGTGATCAAAAAATGCAAACCAAGACACAATAAGATAACACTGTATTGTGTATTACAATAGTGTAGAAAAAATTTTAAAATCTGACCTCAAATATTGATGGTCATAGTGCCCAGTGGGGATGCTTGTGGTCTGCAGAAGTAAGTGCAAATTGGTAATCTGATCTGAAGTACATTCATGCTACTTAGTAAGAAATATCCAAAGATGAAGTTGCATATGACCCTTAACTCAGAAATGCCACACATGGGTATATGCATAGTTCTTGAATATGTGCTAATGGAGAAATTTATAAGACATTTGCATTCACTGTGACACTGTAATAGCAAAAAGAGAGACAACCCAAATGACCACCAATAAGAAAATGGTAAATCAATTGTAATGTATTCATACTGTGAGATGTAGTGTGAGATATGTGGGACAGAGGAAATTGGAACTACTGCTGTGTGAATGTTCTCAAAACATAATGTTTATCCAGGAGTGTAATTCCAGCACTGTGAGGCAGGAGGATTTCCATGGCCAGCCTAAGTTATGTAGTGAGTTTGAAGCTATCCTGGGCTATACAGTAACACCTTGATTCAAAGTAAAATGACAAAACACACAAACTAAAACAAAAAATACAATGTTTAATATTAAAAGTTTTGAAGACTTTGACATCATTTTTTATAAGACTTAAAACATGAGATATATGCTTGAGAATGTAGACAACTCTTGTGAAACTATAAAAAGCTATGTATGTGTAGAACAGATACACCCACTTCAGGGTGTGGCTTCCTTTTGGCAGGAGGGAATGAAATAGGGGCAGGCACAGAACTTAAGTATGGATGTAATGCTTTGCCTTCTTATTGTTTTTATTAGGTTATAATAATTACACAATCAGTTTCTTTACAACCTTTTCATACAGGTATATGGCATACTTTGACCATACTCTCTCATCGATTTTAAGATAACTGATTGCAATTTCTTATTGTTTGCATCTTGGGTTAATTTTATTTCTATTTTGTTTTTGAGACAGGGTTTCTTTGTGGCTGTCATGGAACTCATTCTGTAGACCAGGTTAGCCTTGAACTCAGAGATTCACCTGCCTCTGCCTAAGTGCTGAGATTAAAAGAGAGTGCCACCATGCCTCACTACATCTCATATTCTTTTTTTTTATTTTTTTATTATTATTTTTTTATTTTCCATTTTAAATTTAGATAAGAAACAAGGTTGCTTCACAAGTCAGTTCGAGGTCCCTCTCCCTTTCCCTCCCCTCCTCCCGTGCCCTCCCCCATCCCCCCCCCGTTATCCCCTCATTCCCCCAGGGTGAGGCCCTCCATGGGGGTGTCCATAGTCTGTCATTTCATATAGGGCAGGGCCTAGACCCTTCCCCAAGAGTTCAGGGTGAGAGTGCACCTCACATTGTTCTATGGGAGTCCAGAGTCCGTGTGTATACTTGGGATGGGCACTGATCTGCTGTCCAAGGCTCAATAGATTACCTAGGCCTCCTCACTGACACCCAGATTCAGGGGGTCTTGATCAGTCCCATGCTGGATTCCCAGGCTGATGCCTGGGATTCAAGAGTTAACCTTTGTCTGGTCAGCTGTTTCTGGGGGTTAAACCAGCCCAGTCTCATATTCTTATTGTTCAGGAATGTAAGGAAATACAGGAGAATACATATATATATATATATATATATATATATATATACATACATACATACATACATATCATTCTCCAGGTGGTGGCAGCTCTTGGGAGGCAGAGGCAGGTGCATCTCTGAGTTTGAGGACAGCCTGGTTTACAGAACAAGTTTCAAGACAGCCAGGGCTATACATCTGTCTTGAGAAACCCTGTATTAAAAATAAAAAGAATTACAATTACAGTTGACCTTTTAAACTATATATCATTATTACTCCAGTAAAAGTCAATACTACAAAACGAATGAAAGTTTGAGTCAAAGAGTAATATGTACTATACTTCCTTGAAAATTCCATTTTTAGATGCTTTATCTCTGTACTATTCAAAATATGGTCCTCAGACAAGTGTGGGTTGATGAATTGGTCTGCTGTGAACTAAATATAGAATCTAGCCTGAATGTTTTGGAACTTGTACTGCAATTTTAGAGTGGTTTTTATTTAGATCAAGTCTAATAATTTGAACATGGGACTGTATATAATGTTTTTCTAGATTAATTTTTCAGTTGATAAAAATATTGTTATGTAATGAATTGAGACAACTTAAAAAATCAACTGATTGTGTACAAAATGGCTTGTGATGCATTATTCTATTTTACTCAGAATTGATGTTTATGTGATTTATTTTTTTATGATGTATAAATTTTCTTACTCTTTGGTAATCTTGAGCTCAACTACTAAAATATTAATTTTGTGTGGGATTCAAAAATTGTTTTGGTTTGTTTCGGATATTGCCGTGTATATATAAAGATATACCTATTCTCTGCGTGCATTTTCCCCAGAGACACAGGCAAATGTAGTTGTAATTTCCTGTTCATGGACAACTTGTCTTTAAATTTAGAATCAGATGATACAGCTCCATGTAGAAGGGCAATAAATAGGATTGCTTTCAAGGTGATACCTTTTGTAATTAACTCTTTAACTGTTTTCTGTGTTATATAAAATGTCACCTGGTATAGAAAAATGATATAGAAATGCTTTAAGTCATTTGAGTCTTTAATTTTTTTGCATGATAAGTGGACCTCATGCTATAGGGGGATGAGACATATACATTAATAAAACATTATCATTGTAAGAACAAAATCAAGATAATCTGATCTGTAAGCGTTTTGGGCAGATCGGGATGGAACAGGAGTGGGTCAGGTATTCTGGCACTCGGGAGTCACAGAATACTGAGTGTTACACAGCTCAGATGGAAAGGTATCCTGGAGCTCCGGAGCCAAGGACCACCACAGGTTGTAGTAAGCTTAGCAGCTTACAGCCCAGCCTCAGGAAAAGGCTTCCCCAGTGTATCAGCTCGGCTCTGGCAGGACAGGGTCTTCCAGCTGGGGATGTTCACCCAGTGTAGCAGTTTTCATGCTAGGTAGGAGGTTTCTCAGGCGAAGTTGTTACAGTTCAGCTCTGCTCCAGGAGAGGGGAGAGCCTGCAACTCCGCTCTGCCAATGTAGGGTTTCCTTGGCAAGTGTTACAGCCCTGCTCGCTCTGCTCCATTCCGTGGCCGCAAAATAAGATCTTCACCCAAAGCTCATTGAAGGGGTTTATTGGAAGGAAGCAGCTGGACCAGCCAAGCTGAACATACACAGGGTTTATATAGGGATTCTTGGGGGCGGGGAAGCTTTTCCAGGGTAGGAATTGGTCCGATTTCAGTGCTGAGCTCAGATTGGTTAGAGTTCTGCTGGAGGATTGGTTAGTTTTCTGCACAGGATTAAGGTCAGATTTGGCTCTGGTTTCAGGGCCAAAGTGTGTTTCTTTCTCTGGTCCTTTTTAGCCTTTAGGCTGCAATTTTAGGGCCAGGGTGCATTTCTTTCACTGATTCAGAATCCAGGGACAAAGTGTGTTCCTTTGGCACTGGGTTCAGGGTCAGGGTACATTTCTTTGGTTCTGGTTGCAGGACCAAAGTGTGTTTCTTTGGCTCTGCTCAGGGTGTGTTTCTTTGACTGGCCCCTTTTCCCTACATGATCTCCAGTGCTTGGCAGCATACTTTCTGGGAAGTTTCAGGCTGTGCAGTTTAAACCAGGGGATCAATGCTGCTTGGGAGCCTGTCTCTACAGAGACAGTGCAGTAGGAGATTCTGATGTGCTCAAACTTATCAGTTGGGGATCTCTTTCTTCCCTCTAGGAAACAAACAAACAAAAAACTTCTTTTTCAAAATTAAATTTTGAAGTTGTATTACTTACCAATTTCCAGAAAGTAATCTTACACCTGCCACTTCTTAAGGAAATTTTTTGTTTCTGGCTTTAATTTTTTTTTTTTGAAATCTGAGAACACATTGACTGTACTTGGTTTTTCATCAGAAACAACCACTCTCTATCATAATGCTTTGGAAAAGGCTTTATCTCTCCCATCTCCCAAACACATCTATTTCAATATACCACTTTAGAATCTGCTGATTTTCTTGCTGTTTCTTACTTTTCTCTACAGTTATGCTTGTTGAATATAAATAATATTTGTATCTTCCCACCAAGTTTCCAGTCTAGAATATTCCCCTACCTTGCCTTGTTCTGGCTTTCATGTCCACGTCTTTCGAGGACAAACGTGAAAGGTGAGATGAAGGCATGGAAGACTGTCTTTTCACAGTCTGTGCTGCTGTGGCTCTCAGCAGCACACTCTGTATCTGTTTTCCTTCAGCACACTCTGTATCTGCCTACCTTCCTTCCAGCACAGTGACCACCAACCTGACTTCTACATCTTACCAACCTGGTGGATTTAGAATGGTATCTTTGCATTTTTTCCTGACCATAATAAGAATGGGCATCTTCTCATAGATTAGTTCTTTTTCTTCTTCTGTGATTTATTCTTTCCCCATTCCCCCCCCCCCGAGTTTTAAAATTACTGATATATAAGTTATTTACCTGCCCACTGAGGTCTGGGACGTTGACATTGACTTCAATGCTATCAACATGTCTGTTTCTCCTTCCAGGAAAACCTAGCTGACTCAAATCAGGTAATTGTACTAACCAGGTGTTTGGAGTTACGGAAAGTATTGAGACAGGCATGGGTTCTTGGGATCTAGGCGGGCTACGGGGCAAAATATCAGAGGAAACTGATAAAGGTAATGGATCTAGGACTTTAACTTTTGCGGAATCACGGTCAAGGGTGAAGACTGACGGAGTTCTCGAGACCAGGTAGTGAAAAAGTCCCCAAAGATGAGGCGGTCAGAAACATCATTAAAAGCTTCTTCACTTACGTAACGAAGAAGTTTGAACGTCTCCATAGCTGCTGCATAGGCAGCAGCTGTTACAACAGCATAAGGTCCTATAGTGTCTGTTAAATGTGGGGAGTCCGGACTAGCGAGAATATGCAAATATGAAGTGGCAGAGAAGCAGAGGAGGCAAATCTAGAAGTCCAGTCTAGGCAGTGTTGGATGCTATTTACTCAGAACCTAGGATGAGCAATCCGGTGACACTCAGTTAACAGCTGACTGCGGAGACCATGTGACTCAGGCAAACCCACAGTCAACAGGCTAAAAGCTCGTCCGCCTGCTTCTAGAAATCGTCTTGAAAACTACATTTCCCAGAGGGCCTCACGGCTCCTACTTCCTCTGATGGGTGCAGTGTGCAGTTTACCGGGAGCACTTGGGGGTTCCATAAGCTGCGAAGAACAGTAAAGTTTTTTTGTTTTTGTTTTTGTTTTTTTTTGTTTGTTTGTTTTAATTAAAGCATCTCACTTTTGAGGCTGAGGCCAGCCGGAAGCTTTGTTTAGAACCAGCTGGCCTCCAGGTCCTCTGGGAAATGTAGTAACTTTAGCTTGTAGTTCTGTAGCGCCCCAAGTGTCTTTGCTGCAAGGGGCGTGAGCTAACGTTAATGGAAAAGAACTGTAGACCCGGGCTGTCCACATCGGTTCCTTCCTTCCACCAGATGACGCTGTGAGGGAACATCTGCAGATCCTAGAGCAGGCTGTCCCACAGAAATAGTTTTCATTCCATTTAGCTTTCTGAGCGTTCCCAGGTTTGAGTTAGTAATCACCTTGTAGAGAGACTTGCAGAGAAATGGGAAAACTATGTGAAACGAGCAAATAATGACCCTAAATTACTCCCCAATACCTGCTGCTCTTGGGAAGCTTTCAGAAGTTATAAAGAACTATGGTGATGTGCACATGGGGGATGGGGGTTAGGTCCTTTTAAAGCATAGAATTGCAGGAGGCCTTTACTCCCGCTCTGTAGAAGAGGTATCTCGCCTTCCATGTAGCCTGGTACAGGCAGCGTCCCCAGCCTCTAGACTTGGAAGACCTTTGCACTACCAAGCTGCAGCCCTGTGGTTCTCAATTTACTGAGGGAAGACTCAGGGTGTGATGAATGAAGAGTTGTGTACCTGCCCAAACTGGACAGAAGTACAGTTAGAACTCATAACTAATTCGGTCTCATAACTGCCCCGAGGAGCTGTCTTCTCTCATCATGGTGGCCGGCACCTTGCTATTTTGAGCCTTGATCATCCTAGCTATACTGGTTCATTTATCAAGTATTTATTAAAAATGTAAGCATTGTGTCTGGCCTTGTGGAGGTGCCTGGGACAGTGTTGAATGGCCCCGTCCACATGGAATTTACAGTCTAATAGAGAAGTCAGATACCACATACACAAATCATAAACATTTAAGTATGATAAGAAACAGGGTGCTTTAGAAGAGAATAATGGAAGACATGCATTAGACTGATAAATGGGGGGGGTGCATTACTTGATCTGAGGCTTGAAGGCTAAGAGAATGGAAATTCTTCCAACACAACAAAGGAGTCGTCCTGGCAAAAGGATCACAAGGGTAACCTGAGGCAGTAAAGAGTTTGATATTTTGCTTTGACTCAAAGAAATCCCTTGAGGCTGGTGATAAGTTTTGAATCCCCCGTTAATGAGTATCTGCTGCTGTTGATGTAATACGTCAATCAAATTGAATTAATAAACCCAAGGGGCAGAGGAGGAATCACATGGCAAATATGGTGGCCAGGTGTTAAGTAGCCTATAGGTGTGGTCTTGGGCAGCCCTGGGGAGGCACTAACTCTTGGCGGCTTCCTAAGGGGAGGGGCTCTGTTCGGCAGGTTTTCTGAGTCTGGGGAGAGAGAAGTGGGTTTCCACCTAATCATCCCAGACTCTTTGGGTATATGGGTGTCAGGGCCTCAGGTGGATCTCCCACCAGAACAGCTGAAGCAATGAGTAGGGAAAGAGTAGGATAAGCAGAAACTGCCTTTCCTTCCTTCACCCCTGCCTTGAGATGGGTAATGCTGATTTCCAACCTGACAGTCTGACCTACAGAACAGACCTCTGGACATGTCTGTAAGGGAGTTTCTAACTGGGCTAACTGAGCTGGAAATCTCCACCCTTCATGTGGACTGCACCAAGTAGGTGGCTGTGGTCCTGAACTGCATCCAAAGGAAAAGCAAGGTGAACACCAGCATTCATGTCTGTCTGCTTCTAGACTGTGGATGCAGTATGACCAGCTCTTGCCCCTGTGCCTTCCCTGCCACTATGGACTGCACCCTCAAACCATAGGCCCAAACAAACCTTCCCTTCCTTAAGTTGTGTTTGTCCAGTATTTTGACACAGCAATGAAAAAGTACCTGGTATATTGCCTCTTCTAAACTATTCAGAAACATTTTCATTACTCACACATGGTGACTGTTAGAGTTCCAATGTGAAGTATCCCCAGAAGACTCATCTGTTAAAGACTTGTTTCCCAGTTTATAGGATTGGAGGAAGTTACTGCATCCTCAGAGCTCTGACTAACCAGTGGTTTAATCCTCTAATAATGCAACATTACTGAGATGTGGTAGAAACTGGCAGGTGAGGTCTGAGTTGAGAAAGGATTACAGGGGTAAGTTCTCTGGGGTTATATCTTACCTCCAACTCCTCCTCTATGTCTCTCTGCTTCTCAGACACCACGAGGCAAACAGCTGTGTCTCACCATGCCTTCCCCCATGATGCTCTGCTTCACCACAGCCCAGAATCAGATGGCCATGGACTGGAAATCTCTGAAACAGTGAGCCAAAGCAAATCCTCCTTCATTTTAAACTGTTTTCAAATATTTGCAAAACTTTGTCTAACAAAACACTCTCTACCACAACCATTTTACTGTTTTTTGAGGCGCAGTGTCCTTTACATATTTTATTTCGGACTCCTTGGCTTGTGCCTTTTAAATCTGCAATGGGCAAGTCCTCCCCTCTGTGTTTGCTATGCACGCTTATTTCCATGCACTCTTTATGTCTTGGCTGAACCGTCACCTCCCCTGTGACTTCTCAATTAACTCATCATCCTTCTGCTATATAATGACTCATTTCAAGGACTTGTTTTTCAATCTCTGTGTGATGCAGAACACAGGTCAGACAGTTGGAATTTTTGCAACAAATATCCATTGAGAGAAAGAGTGGAAAGGTTAGCCACATCTTTTGCCTGGCACTCATTGAGAAGGTGACTTGTGGTATCTATCCACAGCAGAGTGAAAATGAACGTCTTAAGGGGCAAGGAGGTGGGCTTGGCAGTGGATCTCAGTGGTAGATTGCTTGTGCATCATGTTTAGGACTTGAGCTCAATTTTGGGGAACACAAATCAAGAAAGAAAAGCAAACGGGTGAAAAGAGATGAGCATAAAATTTATTCTTACCCTGAGTCAGATACTGTCTCATGTAATTCATGATCACACAGTGATGGTAGGCTTAGCTTCTTTTTGCTGGACAGAAAATTGGCGTCCCCTTGTGTGCCCAAATACTGCCTACTAATTGGGAACATGAGACAGGACTCATTGGAGGTCCACTTGAGCACCACAGTTAAATCTTAAAACGTTCCCTGTGTTCCTCTTGCTTTCATTTTGACATCGTTATCCAGAACAGAAATCTGAAGTTTAAAGACTGGATTCCAGATGCTGTCAGTCTTTGTGCCATTTGGACCTCAGAGGACATAAATCCTAGAACAATTGTTATGTAGCAGCTTCGTCCCTTCCGAAAATCGGCGATTCTTATCAGTCTCTGTTTCTGTCTGAATGTTGAAAGACCTGGAATGTCTGATAGAACCTGAAGAAGCAGAACGCCCTGGAAAGGGCAGTGCTGTTCACTAGAACCCTCTGAGATGACTGATGGGTTCTGTCCCTATGCTGCCTTGTGTGGGAAGGTCTAAAGTTCCGACTATGTCAGTATCTCTAATTCCCTCAGTAGTTTCTGACCTTGGGTGTCCCTAAGACTTTGAACTGGAGAATACAGACCTGTGGCTCAGTCTTCAAAAGCCCCCCCCACCCGCCCACAAGCATTCTCGGAATGTATGTGGCTCAGAAGATGGCCAGTGAATTGTGCTGATTGCTGCTCTACCATCCTACCTGGACCCTGGCCCAGAGAAATTGCTGGGTTAACATGGCAGATAAGTGAATTTATCTTTCCTATTTCATAGGCAGAAGTCCTCTCATTTACTACAATTGGCTTCTAGAATCTTTCCTGCACATTTTGAACTTATGAATTTTAGCCAGTCAGTGAAGTTTAATGAAACCAGGGCTCCATAACCATCTCTTCAATTTTGACATTTTGGGATTGTGTGTGAAGGGACAGCTGCAGAGGCAGTGAGTAATTCCTCGCGGTTTTATGTGATGATATGATTTATTTTGAAATCTTGTGTGTAAAATGAAAGCCCAAATGAACACCTGCTACTTATGATTAGGGGCAACATGGTGCTGTGGGAAGAGAATTCACACAGAGTCATCCCAGACCTGTGTCTGACAGACTGTGTGACCTTGAATAAGGGGCTCATTGCTTAGAAACTCCTGTTTTCTTGAGAGTAAAATGAAGATATTAGCCTCTCAGCTCCTTCAAGTAGTTATTATTTAAAAAAATTTTTGAGACATGGTTTCTCTGTGTAACGCCATGGCTATCCTGGAACTCATTCGGTAGACCAGACTGGCTTTGAACTCAGAGATCCACCTGCCTCTGCCTCCCTAGTGCCAGGATTAAAGTTGTGAGCTACCACCACCCAGCTTAAAAATTGTTTTAAATTAAATTCAAATATTTTAAAATTTAAAATACAAGAAAATATTGTTGATATTTAAATTTTACTTGGTCACACTCACAAAGAAATCATATTAAAATTAAACAGATGTGTTTGTGTGCTGTCCTCTGAACAAAACAGCTGTCATATTCATCATATCCGGTGTGCCTGCTTGCATCAGATCACTATAGCGGTCAACATTCCTTCGTAGAAAGAGAAGTAGGACCACTGAACTCTTTATTTCTAGCTACCATTTCCACTTTGTTGTATGCAATTCTGCCCTAATTGCACTTGACCTTGAATCTGGGGAGTTGCTAGAGCTAATGGAAGGGAACTTCATCCCTGCAACTACTAGGGAGCCGTCACCCATGCTAGGTGCAGATCTTCCAGGGCCGGATGCTCTGGGCTCACTCTCAGTCCTGCCCTGTAACCCCTCACTTAATCTCTGTAAGTAATCCCAGTTCACTCATTGGTTCTCAGGATGAACTTCGATGGGATCACACTTTGGTTTGTTGTTGGGACCCCAGGAGGAGGAGTAGACACAGTTTACAACATGCTAGGGAAGGAATTTTCTAAACAACTTTCAGGTGATCATTGCCCGAATCTGGCCTGTTTTCATTGTTTGCACGTGCTGACACCTTTCTCTTAGCCCTGGCACCGACACTGTCTTCCTCACTCGCAGCTCTTCACTGTATTTTGTCTGCTCCTTCATGCTCTAGCAATCATCAGTCACTTGCTCCTTGACAGTGCCTAGATTCCCTTTAATCCTCAGTTCATGGACAAAGCACAGAAAAAGCATTCCTGGTCTCTTGTTACCAGTCAGCTGGCCAGGCTCCTTCACTTCACTTAGGAGTTGTGAGTGTGTGCATAGAAACTCTTCCAGTGCCTGAGGCCCAGGGTTCAATCTGGCAGAGCCAAGAATTTCATAGCTCCAAGTCCTGAGAGCTAGGGGACTAATGCTTTAGGCTCTGGAAGCCAGATGTCTGGCTCTTGGCTTTAACCACCAGCAACCCTAACACTTGGCATCTATTGTAATCCTTATTTCTGACAGCAGTGAGCAAAAACAATAGGCAGTGCCTGTTGGTGCTCCAGCTCCTAACTGGGTCCTGGGTGTTGGGACTCCCAGATGACAATTGTTAATGTCATAGTTCTTCAGCCTTGGTTCTATATATATATGTATATGTATATATATATGTGCAATATTATTTATTATTTATCGAGAGATGGCTCTTAACCACTGAGCCACCTCTCCAACCCCCAGCCTTGGTTCTTAAGGGCGGGCAGCTCCCAGCTCGTCTAGTGATTAGGGCTTGCAGTTTTTCTCTCTAGTCAATTAGCACCTTCTACTTTTTTTTTTTTTTTGAGACAAAGTCTTATGTATTCCAAACAGGCTTTGAACTCACTACATAGGTGAAGATGATACTGAATTTCTGGCCCTCCTGACTCTAACCCCTGAGTTCTGATATTACAAGCTTGCACCATCATGGAGGCCTGTAGCAGGCACTCTTCCCTCTGGGCTGGCTCTTGGCCCCAGCTCAATGCTTCTGCCAACGCAGCTCTGTACTGATTATGCCTTTGGTTGCCGTGGAAGTTTTCAACTTCATCGTCATTGTTTCCACCTTGAGCAGCTCTCCAAAACTCCTAACCTACCCCCTCATCTCTGCCACTCCTACCTTTACCACTTCTGCAGTCTCCAGCTGCCCCACTGTCTCCTCTTCGGGTCACCAACCAGTTCAGCCTTCTCCACTAATAATAAAGGTCAAAGGTCATCAGATAGAAGCCTTTTGATGGACCTTATGTTTATCACCAGAGGGTACCATGGGAGAGTCTTTATATTGACTTAAAAATTGATCTGTTGGGGGCTGGAGAGATGACTCAGCAATTAATAGCACTGGCTGCTCTTCCAGAGGTCCTGAGTTCAATTCCCAGCACTTAGATGGTGGCTTACAATCATCTTTAGTGGGATCTGATGCCCTCTTCTGGCATAAAGTTGTACATGCAGATAGAGTACTTATTCTTACAATAAGTAAGTCTTGTTTTAAAATGAGCTGAACAGCCGACTCAGATAGTCAGAGGAGGTGTGGCAAGGGTGTTTGCATTCATCATGTCAGTCCTTCATACAAACAAAGGCACGTGTTTGCAGTCCTCGAAGGACAGTGCTGTGATTGATATGGACACCTTTGGCACCCGCTCCTTTCTGATTATCTTTGCAGGCTGCTCCAGTCACTATGGGAGACAGCTGGAGCGACAGTCTCTTGTACTGCTCTTTGTGTTGGAACATTAGGCCCACTAAATGACGTGTGTGTGTGTGTGTGTGTGTGTGTGTGTGTGTGTGTGTGTGTACATGTTCATGTCTGAATGTGTGCATGTGGAGATCAGGAATCAATTTTGATGTCATTCCTCAGCATTCTTGATATGGGATGCTCCCATCACTTTCGTATGCTGCAACTATGTGTTGCTTTTATTGGTTGATGAATAAAACCGATTTGGCCAATGGCCAGGCAGAATAGAGCTAGGCAGAAAATACAGAGTCATGGAGAGAAAGAAGGCAGAGTTGGGGAGATGCCATGTAGCTGCCAGGGAAGCAAGATGTGACGTCACAAGTCTTGTGGTAAAAAATATACAATAATAGAAATGGGTTGATTTAATTTTGAGAGCTAGTTAGTAATACGTCTGAGTCATTGGTCAAACAATTATAATTAATGTTAAGCCTCCAGGTGTTTATTCAGGAACTGGCAACCAGGAGAAAAACCTCCATTTACAGAATCTTTTTGAGACTCAGCCTCTCACTGACCTGGAATTCACCTATTTGATTAAGCTGGCTGTCCAGTAAGCCCAGGGATCTACCTGCCTCTGTCCTTAGCACTGGAATTATGAGTGAATGACAATAGAACTATTTTTCCCCCCAGTGGGTACTGGCGATTAAACTCAGACCCTCATATCACCACCTATACAATCTCCCAGGCTCTTGCTGACATTGAGCTTTATTCTTCTAGTGGGCCAAACTGGTAAAAAGTGATGGGAAGGCCTTGGAAGTGGTAACTTTGACATAGGCAGTGGCAGTGGCAAAAGCAGGTGATGATGGTTATTGTGGTCATGGTGGCAGTGGCAACAACAGTAGCAGGGAGAGAGAAGCTAGAGAGTTCTAGAGTGTGGGAGGGGAGGGAATTATGGCGGCAGAGGCAACAAAATGATTGGGAACGATGGAAGGGACAGTAAGAGAGAAGCTGTGGGCTCTGGTTGATAGAAGAGTTTCAGGGAACTGCCAGCCTTTATGAGCTAAGGGTACTGACACCGATGGCTGGATAGCTCTAACACTAGCTACTGTGGGGGCTGAGACTCCCAACACTCATGGCCCATCCAAGTGCTGTAACTATCAGGCACTACCATTCTGTTCACTGCCGTTGGAAGCCAAGGTTTACAATAGCTGCCAAGTGGCTAGAGCCCAGATCAGTAAGCCTCCAACTTGTCTACCTAAGAGCCATAAGTTTCTAAAGACTGGGGCAATAGGTGTGCAACTTTCAAGGTTTTTGAGCTAGAAGGTTCTGGGGCTGCCAGTCTAGCTCATATGCCTTAGGCACACAAGCGTCCATGACTACCCAAACTAGGAAGTCTTCTTACCTATACACACTTTCTATCCAGGTAGTGTAAAAACACCACAGCCAGCTGGCTAGCCACACTCCACATTTCCTTATCCAGACATTGAACTTACCCAGCAAAGCAGGAAAAAAAACCGTTTCTATCCTGGCAGTTGTTTTTATAACCACTAGATGGCGCATGTCTGCAAGACATTAGCATTTAACAAGAAGTTTATGTGTGAGAACTCCACCTCGATCCACTGGTGCTTTGATAGGAATTATAAAAGCATGGAATATACATAAGAATAAGATAAAAACCTAAAGAACTGGCAAAAGCAGAGAGCAAGGAGAAATTACTACAGCTTGGCATTAGCTCAAAGAGATCTATGCCAGCTCATGTTTGTTTCCAATCTTGAGCAGCCAAAGAGGCAAATGTCAATGGTTACAAATTTGCAGATATTATTATAGATGAAGTAATAAATCAAAAGAATCCAAATTTTTCCTGACGAGATGAGAGAGGAATTTTTTCATATGGGTCCAATGACACAAAGGCATCGATGACTTCATTAAAGCTATTTCTTAAGACTCTGTCTCCACCTGCAGTAGTTGAGCAACGAGGTCAACCAGTTGTCCATGTCTCCTCCTTGAAGTACTTTTGAATCTCTTACATAACTTCTGACCATCCCCGCTCCCCACCTGCCTCTGCTGTTCTCTAGTGACCACCATTTTAGTTCATTCTTTTATGAGACCAACATTTTAATAGCATAAATGAGCAAGAACTAGGAAAGTTAGCTTTTACAGGTTCAAAACTGTTTCCTGTGTACATCTATATTTTTCAACTGTATCCTTTATACACTCCTTTCCCAGGGTCTGGGTAAAAGTATGAGAAAAGGAAAACCCATGCCATGGGAATTGGTTTCTACCTCATCCTCTCTGCCATGATCCTTCACCTTACTACAGCTGAGAAATGAAAGCCAAGTGAGGGTGTAATAAATAGTTGGACACTTTGAGTCAAAATAAACTTTTCCCCATTTAAATTGTTTCCTTCAGGGTTTTTTGTTTGCTTTTTGTTACAGTGATGGAATGTTGACTAACATGGTGGGGCAAAGACTTACCTGCCATGCTTTCCTGTAACATCTGCAGTGTCTAGCACAGAGCCTGGAGTAGAGTTGGCTTCCTAGAAATCTTTGAATGAATGATGAACTGTAATTCCGAGTGAGCCATTCACTTATCTGGCAACTATCACTTATTAAGCTTTTACCAGATGCCAGATGCACAGGACTGACTGAGTCTCTCAGATCACTGTGTGGGAATCAAACTCAAGTCCTCTTGCTTGCAAAGTATACAGTTTATCAACTTAGCTACGTCTGTATTCCTTATTGTAACAGAAATATTCTGGTGGTAAAATAGAACCAATGTGGTAACCTGACTCCGTCTCTAGGGTCTGTCTGAAGAAAACACTCCTTTCCTTCTGAGGAGGCAATGATGCTGAGCTAAGGGAGTTTGGTTTCTAGGTATAACCCTTGATGAAGTTCTGGCCAAGGCAGAAGAAGAAGATAGTGTTTTAAGGACCTTCTGAAAAATCTTAATGGAATCCGACTCGGCTGGGATATACACCCTCATTTTTCTTACTCAGAACTGTATTCAATGACTGTAGCTTCTGTAGCCATTTTGTTCCAAGAGGCTTTGTATTAATGATAGAAGGGAGGGAGGACAGACAAAGGCAAGTCCTACTGTCTAATGATTAGGGGTCTCCTGCTGGTTCAAGACTACCTTCTTTTTTGGACTTGAACCTGAGAGAAAAATTTATGTTAGTCACTGTTTACTAAGCCATTGTTACTTTGTTTTGCTGTAGGTAGGCAAATCTACACATAATTGGTGCAGGATCTCACTTTCATCTTTAGAGTCCTCACAGGTAGGCACATTTATGCCCATTTTAGAATCTTAGAATAATTGTTAGTGTTGTAATCAGGTAAGACCGGCCCCACGTCTCATCTACCTGCGCATGTCAGATGTACATACCCTGGCCCTATAAAAGAAAGACTCCACCCACTTCCGTGTCCCCCCCCCATTCCCCTGAAGGGGTAGACAGCACGTTTCCTGTCTCTTTCCCCTCCCTCTTCTCTTTAGTCCTTTCTCTGTCTCCATGTCTCTTTACTTCTTTTTCCCTCCCTTATTTTCTTACCTCACCTTCAATAAGACTTTCAGTGAGCCACGTGTACAGCGCCACGTGACTGGGGACCTACCACCTGTAGTCCCAACCCATTAGGCTTTATTCCTAACATTAGAGTCGAGGTAGAGCCTAGGCCAGCAACTGGGATATTTTCAGTTGCTACTCACAAAGGAGAGAAGCCTTGCCTGGGGAACTAGCTTAGTATACAGCCTGGCATCCATTCTCACCTACTAGGTTTCCTTAAGGCCTTTGGAAGCTTCTTCCCCTGGAACATTCTAAGCTTTCTTATTTATCATCAGTTAAACGGATGAATCCCAACATGGGTGATGACCAGTGAGAGATCCCTCAAGGAACGAATAGTTTCCCTGAGAATACTTCTACGAATTTAGTAATGCCCCATGGAGCTTATAGACTTTGGGTTTCAGTTTTCATTTGGAAAAAAAAGTCAGTAAGCCTTGTGTGGGACAGGGGATTTGCATTTTTGAAAACTTTCCTCATGATCCTGATGACTTGTGGGACTCCAGTTTTAATAGTTAAGAGCACAGGTGTTGGACAGGATGAACCTGGGTTTTGACTCTTGGCACTGTCACTTACTTGCTAGATGACCTGGAGTGGGCTAATTAAGCAGTCTGTGTCTCAGGTTTCATCATTTCCAAATTGAAGAAAATAATGAGGTCTACCTGGCAGGGTTGTTGTGAGGATTCAATGAGATAATTTATGTAAAGCCCTTAGCTTTGCATAAATGTGCTCTCCATAAGTGGTGGCTATTGTTATTATCATACCCAAAGCACACATTTTGCAAACAGTATGGGCACAGAGTCCTATTACCATGGATAATTTATGTAAAATCCAGGGAGCCACGATTCAGTAAAGGCTGATAGAGAAAACTAGATACCCCTTTCTCTTTTCAGCTTCCTCTTCATCTCTTCCTCACCCTTCTCCCCCCCCCCCATTTTAAATTGTTTATTTGGTGTGTGTGTGTGCATATGTGCGTGTGTGTGGTGTTCACCAAGGTGCCTGACAAATGTGTGTTGAAGTCAGAGAACTTGCAGGAGTCGGTTCCCAACTTCAACCACAGGGGGCCCAGGGATCAAACTGTAGTTGGCAGGTGGCAGGTGCCTTTACCTGCTTAGCTGTCTTGTGGGCCTTCCTCCTGGTTTTCTTGAGATAGGGTTTCATGTGCTCATGACCTTAGATTTGCTGTGTTGGCTGTAAATGATCTCAAACTACTAGCCTTCCTACCTCCATCTCCCACATGCTGGGATTACAGGTGCCTGCTGGCAGGTCCAAAGGAAACTTTGATCTCCCAAACTCCAAAAGGCAGCCCTGGACTAACTGGAGAATTGCTGGTGGTAACATAAAATCCAGCATTCCCCAGAGACTTGTGAAGTCAGTTCCCCTCTACCCAAAGGAGTCATTTTCCCTTATCACTGGCAGAAGAGACAAATGGCTACCTGTGGTGCCTATTAGCATACCAAAGCCCATGTTGGATTCCAGGCTCTCTCAGTATTACAAGTACCTGTTACTCATTTCAAACTAGTATCCTAGCCCTTCTCCCCTCCTCCCCTCCAGCTCACTGGCTTCCCTCCCCACAACAATTTTCTCTTTATTGCCCTGCTGTTTTCAATATGCTCACACACTCTCTCTCTCTTTCCCTCTCTGTTTCCTCCCTCCTCTGCTCCCTCCCTCCCTGTCCCCATCCCCGCTCCTGTTGCTCTCAAGGCCAGGTCCAGTTTGCTGGCCATATCCAGTCTACTTCTTTCTCTCTCCACTCTCGGCTCTTTGCAGATGCCTCTGGTTGTTCTCTCTCTCGTATGTACAATACACCTTTCCCCTTAACCATGCTGTGCAGTGCTCACGTTGTCGTCAGTTGCTGCATGTGATACCACATGTGCTGTTTGTAGCCTTGAGGACCTACCTCTCCAGGCACATGCTCCTTTGTCAGCCGCCATCTTTTCTCCTCTTTCTTCTCTGCCTTCCCACTGAAGTCTGTCTGGGCTATACACCTTCAATAGCTCCACTTTCTCCCTTCACTTCCTGAAAGCTCAAGACACCACAGTCTTTTGCCACTGCTATTCTCAAGTGACACTCACTGAGGTCCTTGTGGCTTCCAGGTTGCAAAACCCAGTGGATGTTTTATAGCCCTCATGGAACCATCTCAAGTGTGTGTGGGCTCTACTTACTCCTCCCTGGCACTTTGAACTTTTGTTGAAAAATTACCCGTCTACGAAGTACATATCCCTGATCTTTATGGTTTTGGTCTTTTAAGGTACTGAGGCTCAAACCCAGAGCCTTGTATATGCTAAGCTAGCACTGTACCACAGAGACACATCCCCAGTCTTTTCTTCTCTACCCTCTGAGCCCCTCATGTGCCCCAATTCCTTTTTGTTCTTTATTTTCTCTCCTAAGCGTTCATTGTCACTGAAATCTTCTACATTATAGAGGAATTATCCATTTTCTTAAGATATACTTGTCTAATGAAATTTTTTTCTTCCATGGAGTAATTTAAAGCAAGCTCCAGAGGTGTGTGGGATCCAGAGTCTCCCCCACAAATCTACACAGGATGCCTAACAATGTTCACAAAAACAAGACTTAAATTTCCTGTGGGCTGGACCCTAGGATGTTCCATGTTATACTGATAGGAGAGACAGCTATTTCATCTATTCCTATAGGTGGGTTTTAGAGACTGGGAAGCCAGGTTTAGCTCCATTCTTGTATGTTTAGAACCTTTTTAAATCTTTTTCAGGTCTTATATGGATCTACACTAGATGATGGGCATCATTTGTAAGTGGAGTTTTCCTGTCCTGACCACTTGCTTCCAAATAACAAGCAGTCTCTAGCCAAATAACTGACTTGGAGACTTAATATAAATTACAAATGCTCAGTCAATAGCTCAGGCTTGTTACTAGCTAACTCTTACATTTTTCACTAAACCCATATCTTACCTATGCTTTGCCTTTAGCTTGGTACTTTTTCTTAGTACAGCTTGCCCATCTTGCATCTGCTGGCGACTCCTCTGATCCTGCCCTTCTTCCCAGCATTCTTAGTTTGGCTTTCCCACCTAATTTTATCCTGTTCAGCTATTGACCAGTCAGTTTCTTTATTAAACCAAACACAGTGACAAATCTTCAGAGTGTACAAAAGAATTATTCCATAGTACTAAGGTCTTACATCCAGACCATTGAGCCACTGATACCCAGTCACTTTTTACAAATGTTAGTTTATTTTGAATCTGTGCTTAGTCTTCAATTTTTTCAATATGATGTGACAAGTGTGTGTGTGAGTATGTTTGTGTGTGTGATATCTTAGAAGTTAGTCCTGAATATCTGTCACCATTATGATTAGCTTTTAAAATGATTTGTGTAACCCTTGATTTCACTCCTAAGAATCCACTCTACAGAAATGCTCCCCTAGGTGCACAAAGATATGTGCATACAAAAACATTATTGTAGGAACATAAATGTTTCTCAAGAGTTGACTGGTAAAATAGGTTATGATGCTAGTCTATGCCTGTACTGCTCTAAGCAATCTACTCTGAATTACTGGTCTACTAGGAGATAAATTGTATGCTTTAAGTTTTGACTATCCTCCACAGGCTCGTGTTTTGAGAATTTAGCCCCTGGCTTATAGCCCTATGTAGAAGACTGTGGAGTCTTTAGGAGGCAGGGCATGGCTGGCAGGAGTAGGTCACTAGAGATAGGACGTTGGATCTTACATGCAATCTGGGTTCAACTTGTATTCTGTGCTTCCTGGTTTGTGCCATGTGAAGTTCTGCCACCTGTTGTCATCATCATTCTGCTATGCCTTCTCCACTATGGTGGACTGAAATCCCTCTAAATCCACAAGCCCAAACAAACCTTTCTTCCTTGTAGTTGTCATTGTCAGGTAGTCTGTCACAAAAGTAACAACATGTAAGGCAAACACTTTTCCAAGACAGTCTTACTGGCAAAACAAGGACCCAAACAAAAACAACCGACTTAGACAACTATCAGCTGAAGTTAACTAGATGGATAGAGGCAGAGTTGATATGTATTCTCATGCAAATTGGTCTCTTATACTCTCCAAGGAATGGTTCTGGAACAACACATGTTTATGGGCTATTTGAGCAGCATTGCTAAAGCCTAAAACGAGGGATTTC